CCGTAATGGTTTTTATACTGTACAAACTGTATTTTCTATCGCCCTACACCAACCCTAAACCTACCCCTTACAGAAAACTATGTCCTCATAAACCATGTTTACGTTGTAATACCCATGTCATTATAATAATTTTCCTTTCTGCCCTTAGAACAACTTTCAGAGTAAGTAAAACTCACATGAGCCACAGCTAGGGGGAAAGCATATATACATGTGAAAAAGAGCAAACAAAAATTTGTGGGAAATGGCATTGCATAACCATGTCACAGCCTAATATTTGATGTGATATTTCTTTTACTGTACATAAGCAGGAGCACTTGTGCTTTTAGGAGGCACACATTTATCTTAACCAATTTTCTGGATTATTGGAAGTAATTTTGCAAGGTGATGTATCACTATTCAATCACATAGCCTAGGTCTAAATTAAAAAGATTAAGTTCATTTGATTGACAAGTAGGTTTATCTTTATGGCAACACACATTTGGAGTAATTTCTTTTGCTCAGAGTTTAAAGGGTATTGCATAATAAATAACTCTTCATCACTACCACCACAGGACAAACCGCACATTACATTTCCGAGCAACACGCCGTGGCATTGTTTAGTTCCTGTATGAATCAGTATTTTGAAATAATCTGTTGAATAATGATTCAATGAGTCGCTCATTAAGACAGTCACTTGTCATCACCTATACGGGCTTAACAAAGTAGTATAAAAGACACTAAAGAAAAACACATAAAACTAACACAGTCTGTCTAAAACGTGAAAAGACCCAGTGCTGTTGGACTGTCTCCACACTTCTGGAATGCTGCTTGACCAATCAAATTTGAGGACTGGAACTAGCATGTTGTATGAAGGAGTTTATGTTGTTTCTAATGTTTTTTTTGTTTTTTTTTGCAACCTGTGAGAAGCCATAATGTTTCTTGAAAATCTAGAAGTCAAAATGCTATACTGTTGGGTAATTCAGACTTCTCTGCTGAGGCTGAATGAATCATGAATGAACAATCAGTGGCCTAAAGCTATACAATAATGCTTTTTTGATCCAAATGTGTTCAGGCAAAATATCCTGATGCAAGCAGTGATTTTTAATGGTCATGTTCATTTACATGGATAATCTTTCCATGCATCACTACATATGTCCCCATACATATGTCCACATTCACTTGTATCACTTTCATTGAATGCAAAGGAACAGCTTTTGAAATTATGCTAAATATCACATTTTGCATTCCACAAAAGAAAAGTCATTGGAACAACATGACAGTGAGTACATGACATAATTTTAATTTTTTGTGCCATTTTAGGTTCCAATTAACATGAAGAATATGATACTTTATAGGCTAAACAAGGATTTCCACTAATACAGGAAACACTTCAAAGTTACTCTTCCAGTGGACTGAAGAAAGAAATAGTTTGAGATAAAGTATTATACTTACGGCACCCACCTAACACAGTCAAATCTACAGAGTACAGGCCAGTCAATCTGGAATTTTGGGGTGTATTGGCTTCAATGCTCAGTTGAAATGTGTAGTTCCCTGAGGAAGTGTAGTGGCATTCCACAAAAGGCTCTGGGCCTTTACGCATTTCCCTAAAAAAACAATGTCAACTGTAAAGAACAGCTTTAAGACAAACATTTAGTTGATTGAAATTGATGTATTTATTCGCATAACAATCACCCATTGCCTAAGTCCCATGTGTATGTGAAAGTGACAGAGTGCAGGGTATGTCTCGGGTCAAAGTGCTCAAATGAAACCAGGGTGGGTATGTAAGATGCCAACTTCCCACTATCCCGCAAGTATGTTGAATTATCTTCCATTTGACGGAAAATAATCCTTCCTTTGACATTTCCTATAGTGAAATAGAAACAATGTAACCACTAAGTAACCAACCAAGTCAAAAGACAAAAGAGGACTAGACAGCTTACCAGATAACTGATGGGACAACCCGTCGGGTATCCCAAAAGTAAGAGAGGAAATCAGTGAGAGAACGAGAACACTCCAGATCCTGATGGAAATCAATATGCAGCTTGAAATATAAACATTCAACATGAATATAAAAGCTCAAGACTAAAGGATTAGTCATAATAGAAAAACATATGTTTATATCTATTAATTAGAACTATACATACCCGTTCATGTGGACTCGTCAGAATTGATTTCTAAATGTGTACAGACGACAGCTTGTGACTTGTGAAAGTATGACTGAGTCAAGCTTTTATGTCTTTCATGCTGTTTTGTAAAGGCTTGAAATCATATCGACGTGTTGAATCCTTATGCTCATCTGAATAATGATGTGTGCTGTGATGCCGAAGAAAACAATTCATGCAGAAACGTGACTAATTCACAAGATCATTCCTTTACAGATTTCTGGATAGATTTTAGAGGATGCAAAAGTCTCTACATATTATTCCCAAGCTTATAAAATACGTGGACTAGTGCTAGTAGTCACTTTTTGCTACAGTATGAATTTACTAACTAACTATAGTACAAAACAACTAAACAAACGGCCACAAAGTGGCGCTTTAATGTAAAGCGTGAAATGTTTATCAGCTGAATAATCTACCTCATGATTTTGATATCAATCTTCGATATACACATCACTCTCACTATCATGCTAGGCTACCAGTTTCAGTCCACAAGTACACAAAATTATCTTATAATTACTCAGAGAGAAATGGACATTTAAATTTTAGAGTATTTTCAATATTTTTCTGCATGTACACTCTTAAAAATAAAGGTGCTTTAAAAAGGTTCTTCAAGCGATGCCATAGAAGAACCATTTTTGGTTCCACAAAGAACCATTCAATCAAAAGTTCTTTAAAGAACCATCTCTTTCTTACCTTTTTATAATCTGAAGAACCTTCTTTCGCCACAAAGAACCTTTTGTGAAACAGAAAGGTTCTTCAGATGTTAAAGGTTCTTTATGGAACCAATTAGACAAAAAGGTTCTTCTATGGCATCGTGAAGCACCTTTATTTTTAAGAGTGTAGCCTACGTTAAACAACCTGACTTTATTATAGTGTGTAACATAATAACGGTAGATTTACTTTTACTTTACTTTTAGACATTTAGCAGACGCTTTTATCCAAAGCGACTTACAAATAAGAAAAAGCAATTAAAACTAAAACCTAAAACTCTATAAATATTATATATATACACATTTAAGAAAATAAAAGTAAGAAATGGTTATAAAAAAAAACTGAAACAGAAGTGAAACAAGTAGTAGCAAAGAGGAGAAATAAAAAGCTATACTTACCAGGTGTCCCTGCTCGGTGGAGTCGCACGGTAGAGTCGGTGGTCTTTACACTCTTCGGTCTGCACACGACCGCTTCCGCGGTAAACTAAGCTTCTTTTTTATTCGTTTAACAACACTCAAATTGAATTCAGCTGGACACACTTTCCTGTTTATCACAACAAATGGCCAAGCAAAGCGCACGACACTGACAAGGTACGCGATACAGTACGAGACCAAACGCGATTTCAGCATGTCTCCACGCTTATTTTTTTCACGTAAAAAAAAAATATTTCTTTTCTTTTCTTTCTTTTATTTTTCGCTTTTGACAATGAATTAGCTAACAAAATAAAAATAAATTAAATTCAAGACCATTGTTTTATTTACTGTCATAAGATCAAATAATATTTTTTTTTAGTGTAAGGGCAATTAACATATTCACAGTGCACAATACACCAGGTTCAACCCAGATATCTTTAACAATATAACAAAAAAATAGTTTTTAATCATCATTACACTAAACTAAAAATATATTTAACAGTGCAGGGGAAACAATAAAAGAGAAGAGAAAGAAATGGCTTAATTTCTGTTTGGCCGTAGAAAGCGGTGACGTCACGGATTCCACCTTTCCAAGTGTGGCATGAGGTCGCGCGGAAAGGTTTCCTCCTTCAGTGCATCAGTGCAGTATCGTGTTCTTCTCGAGAGCGCTAGAGCGCTCGGTTCTCTGACGCTTCACACACGTTAACAGGTGGGACGAAAACACTGCTTTACGATTTGAACGGGGAAAGTTGCATTGTCACCAAGGACGTTTGGAGAATACCTGCAAAAATGTCTCGAATCCCGGAGGACGTGAACAAACTCACCGAGAGCACATACAAGGTAATGTAGGTTTAAACTGCGTTTATCTTCTTGGTCATTGACTAAGCCAACCGCGTGTGTATGTATATAATTTGTCATTGACAAATTAAGCCCAGTACATGCAGACTCGTGAAAGATGTGTTGGTTTGTTTAATAATGAAGTGTTATTTTATGGCACTCGTATGTTTTGTCATTAAGGTGCCTGTAAGTTGTGCAATAGAGGCATGAGTGCATTTTAAAGTGCTTCAGTTGGGTTTCTGGGTTGAGTTAAGGAACCAGTTTGTGCTGAACTGTTTCTGTTATTGCATACCTGTTCATTGTTTTGCCAAGGGTGTGTTCTTGGGAACTAGCGAGGAACTGCCCAGAATTACATTACAGAAGGGCATTTCAATAGAGACACAAAGGGCCACAGGACTTTGATCTCATAGGCAATATAATTAGAATTATAAGTCAATGATTAAGCAAGGGTATTTTTAGCTACAGTAGAGGTATTTTTAGAAAGTGTGTTGTACATTTTTTTTCATGGACAATAACATGTGATTTACCTATAATGGGGAAAATATGTGCACTTTTAAAATGTAGAAACAGAGACAGTTCAAAAATTAAAATGACGTCATTTACTTATCATCATATTTCCAAAGCTGGAGGATATTTTGAAGAATGTTTTAAGTGTTGTCCATTCAGTGGAAGTCGATGGGGTCCAAAACAACATTGGATACCACTGACTTGATTGTATAGACAAAAAACTAAAGCATTATAGAAAATATCTTCCCGGGGTAGGTGCATTCATCTGAGTCAGTTTCGAAGTTTCATTCAGCAGCAGTAAGCTGCTCTCCCTGTAACTTAGAATTATGAGCTTTGTTTCCTGCTCTTCCAGAATGTGATGGAACAGTTTAACCCAGGACTGCGGAATCTGGTTAACCTGGGGAAGAGCTACGAGAAAGCAGTGATGGGTAATCAAATCAGTTCATTTACAAAAGATTAAATATACATAACCCTACATTGTTGCATAAAATGTCCCATAAAAGCTCAATAAACCTAAAACTCTGACAAAAAAAAAAGAACAATATTTCTCTCAAAATATCTGGAATACAAGCAGTCTGGCTACCAGTTCCTGTTAATCAATATGAGTTATTCACTCTCTCATAGCAATGACCTTTGCTGGAAAGGTATATTTCGATGCAGTCTCAAAGATTGGGGAAAATGCTGCCGTATCGCCTGTTTCTAGGGAGCTGGGTGAGTATTACTCTCTAAACCATTGCCCAGAGGTCCTAATCTGGCCTTCGCTGATATAGATGTGCTCTGTGCAAAGCGTGGCTTAACATTTCTTAGCAGATGATTCATTGTACACAACATGTCTTGGAATATGCTGTGCCAGTTATTTCCTCATTTTCTCAAATAGAGTTCCACATTTGCATCTGCTTAAAGCCCCAGACAGGTTTGGTTCTTGTTGACTTTTTGTGACTCAGCATCAGTTTGATTCATATCGTCTGGAAATAATGACCATGCTTTACTGTGATTTATAAACCGCCATCTGTTTCATGGCAACATTTCATACTCGCCACCGCAGATCCGGTGAAAGAAAATTATACCTTTTTTTTTTTGTGCAAATTACAAAGATTAATGGCTTAGTCTTCACATTAATCTGTTAATTTACCCAAAAGTGGTACACATCGTTCTTAGTACAAATACATTTTACTTACTGTAATTGAGCTTTTGCTTTCCAGTGAAGTGTTCTTTTGTGATTTACTGAGCTTCACTGGCTTTATCGTTCCTAGTTTTTCCTGGAATCCCTTTCAGACAGCTCGAATGACCACCAGACAGTGTGGATTGATTCTCTCACATGTTTTGCACAGACCGCCAGCAAACACACAAAGTAAACAGTGACTCTGTGAGACTTTGTCTACAAAACTTCCCACCTCTGATCCCATTGAGAAAAGCATCACAGCTCGAATGTTCCAGTGGAACATGCAAATTCAGTGCAAGTGCTTGCCATCGATATTCACATTTAGTTTAGTCATAAGACCATGCATCATATCACCATCTTATGCTGTACCTTTCTAATGCTGTAGTGATTACTGGTGCAAACCTTATCTGCAAATTTTCATGACCTCTAAGAGTATTATGACAACGTATTCTGTATATAAGGAATGCATAGCTTATGATTGCTTGTGACACTTGATTGACACAAGGTCTTGATTAAGTGAGCATTGTGTCAACATCAACACACCTGAAAGAAAGTTCTGGAAGAGTTACAAATAAATGTTGGTTAACACAATTTGAACTTAGTAGTAATTAATATGAACTGCAGACTGCATGTCTGGGCCAAATGTCTCATCAAATGATACTACATAATGAATTACCATTGTAACTCTCCATTTAGTTCTTAAAGTGATTTCTCTAGGGACTTTAAACATTCAGTTGGAGATGTATGACTGGAATGTAAGAAGTGCTCAGTTTAGTCACCACCCTTTTTCCTTTGCTGACACGCTCTTCTAAAATTAAGACCACGAACATTCACATGTACGTGTACTTTTGTTATTTTAACGAAACAAGTTCCTTAATGTCAAGGTGTTTGACATCTCATGGTGGAATTGCTTTTGACAGACATATCTTACAGCACAAACAGCAACCAGAATGTGGTTGGTAGGAACATGGCGAATTTCTCAGTTTCTCAGTTTGGTTTAGGTGCTTGATGATGTGAAGGGAACAATGTCCTTTGTTGGGAATGTGGCTGTTTATCATCCCATTAGAGCATTTTACAGGTGAATTTTTTATTTTAATTTTTGTAGATGTTTACTGTGGTTGGCACTTGGCAGTAGAGCACCGCTGACACATTAATGCTTTTTAAACTCCTTCAGCCTTCTCAGCAATCATTAAGGCAAGAATTGTATTACTCTTTCCTTGTTATTTATAGTTTTCACTGAATGGCTCTAAGTAGTTTTCATCTAAACCCTAGGAAAGCACTTTGACATTAGAAGACAACAAACACAACCAGTTGCCCATAAAGTAGATGTTAATTAAAGTTGCGATGTAAAAAATAGCGATAGATCTTTTCTTTCATACTATTGGTCTTGGTTCAGTCTACCAGTTGTTAATTGAACCAATTACAAGTTAAAAAAGAAAAAAGAAACATAAGCATGGATGAATCATTCGCAGTGAGATCTAACATAAATTTAGAAAATAGATAGGGTAAGTTTCCTCGTGTTAAAAGCACAAGACCCAAATATTACCAGGTAATGCATTTGAAATGGTAACATTTGTTAAACTTTATTCGTAGAATGTGTGAATGTGTTGAATTTAAAGCCAACATAAAATCAAAATTGACCTTATTTATTTTATTAATGCATAAAAGTGCTCTTATTGTGGTCAAATCATCAGTGCACATGATTTCATAGAAAAACAAATCCTTGAACTTGTAGTCTTAAAGCAAAATGTTATTATTTGCTATTCCAGTTTGAAACAACTTTTCTTTTCTGCTGATGTCACTTTGCCTGTGTAGGTTTTTGGGTAATGTTAAAGGGGTCATAGGATGCTACATGCACATTTACAAGTTGTTTGAACTGAACTCATTTACTCCCGACATCTGAGCCGGTGAACTCGCAGTGAATTACCTTGTTTCTGAAGGGAATGCGCCCCCGATCTACATAAATGCGTCTATGTTTGCGCGAATCATTCATGATCCAGCCTCA